AAAATATTACAATATTAAAGAACTGTTCTTGTTAATTTGATGAAAACATTTTAAATATGCAGTGCACTCACATCAGAATAACTTATAGATTTGTTGTTAGAATAATCGATTAATCGAAAAAATAATCGTTAGATTAATCTATTAGAAAATAATCGTTTGGTATAGCACTAGTTTAGTGTTCTGTTCGGGTTTACAAAGTTTTTTCTCCCTTTCGTTTTTATAAATGACGAACACCCGCGGCAGAGAACTTTAATCAAGGTATGTTTTTCTTGGCTGTCCACCGGACAACAAGGAGACAGGATCTGGTTGTCCGAAACGAAAATAGGTTGTCTCGGACAACCTAAACAATGGTTATGTCTATCCCTGATTTTTGATTAAATTTGTTTAGAAGAGAGTGATCACATATAAAACAAACTGTGTGTTTTGTCTTTCTGCCCTCCAAGCGAGGTTTTGAATTGGGCAGTCAGGTGATCATGACGACACATTGATCTTCCCAAATGTTCAACTTGTTCTTATGGCAACATGGCTGTGAACATCTCCAACTTATCTATTTGCAGTTTTACATTTATTTCCCGTGTATAATAAAGACTTTATCATATGTTTGTGAAAACTGCTAACATTACTAGGTAGCATTTAGAAAATTAGAACTTAAGTTGAGTTTTCCACTGTAGGCCTTTTTGTTGGGATTTCCAGAAAGAAATCCTCTTGTGAGCCATGAGAGGATATACTTGTGAGGTAAAATCAATGTGATGTTCTGGTGCATGTTTCTTTAGGATTTTGCACAAAACTTCAGTTCAGTTTGTTCAGTGTGGACAAGTTCCCAACAAAAAGTTATCTCAGGACATGTAACAAAAAGAAACCCAGAGTTTCTCTTTGAGTAAGCACTTTTATCACGGTGTAATTTGCTTCAGTTCTTTTCTATGAGCTGATAAACAGAGAACTGCTTGAGCGTGCGCTGCCTCTGCAGATTATTTTGCTTTCCTGTCTTGTCCGCTCAACCCAGTGGTACCAAGTTGTACAGTCCTATGAGCAATCCAACCTTTGTTTTCCCCCCTTTTTTTCTTTTAGTCTGATTTGTCGACAGGTTTTCTCTTTACATATTTCATGCTCAAAAGGAGTCGCCAACTGTGGAGCGACTCGGTGAACCCAATATTCTGCTCTGTGTTTGCCAACAAGGACAAAGCCAGATCAGCACTTACTCAGCTGAAGGCTGCAGTACTCCATAAACATGTAACACAGTGAAACTTTCGAAAGGTTTTTACTTAGAGGCTTTTAAAGTGCAGGGAAACAGTTCCTTAATGCATTATTGTTAGTTCATAATGAAACGAGGCATTCCCATCATCACTAAGGAGAGGAAGTGTTTCTACAAAAGGTGGCACACTCCCTCCGGGTTGGGTAGAGTATTTGCACCTCCATCATGAGGTTCTCCAGTAGGGCTGCCACGATTAATCGATTAATCGATGACTAATCGATTATTAAAATAATCGATGACTAATTTAAT